CCCAGGCGTGGTAGCGAGCGCCTGTAATTCCGGCTACTCGGAAGGCCGAGGCGGAAGGATCGCCAGAGCCCAGCGGGTCGAGGCTGTGGTGGCCGGGAGCAGCCACTGCACTCCAGTCTGGGCGACAGAGTGAGACTCCAACTCAAAAAATAAAAAAAAAAAAGAAAAGTCTTTTTCAAAGTTTTGTGTAAACAAAACAAAATTCAAGCTGGCAGCTACAGCTGAAATAGCAGGCAACTGAAATGCTGCAGCATTTTCCAAGTTTTGAAGGGAAAGAATCAGCCTAGGCCAAAGCAGTTAAGGCAACCTGGAATCCAGGTTTCTGACCATGTCAGTCAGCTCCTCAGAGTTAAACCAGTGGAGGGACATGAGCCCGTCTCCTTCACTTTCATCCTGCTCCAGTATTTCTCTCTCCACAGAGGAGTGAGGTGTCCATTGATGCCAGGCCTCTGAATGCAGAGACTAGCCCAGACTCACTCTATGTCTTCTGTGTGACAGTGCTCCGACGATTCTCCTGTTTTAGTGTGCTGTTTACGCTGGCTCAACCCCCCACAGAATCCCATAGAAACTGTCCTCTCGCAGAAGCAAGTCAGCAGCCTCTTCTGACTGCAGATGGTTCTGCTTTGATCCATGGGAGTTTCATGGTGTGATGATGCCAACTCAGGAATTTTAGGCTCAGCTACATGAGAAATGTGGGGTGTGTGTGTGTGTGTGTGTGTGTGTGTGTGTGTGTGTATGTGAGAGAGTGTGTGTGTGTTTTCCTCTGTCTCAAATTCTCTAAATCCAACATTCAAAATAAGATATGCCAGGAAAATGAAAAGCTAAGTCTCAAAACAGTAAGTGTGCCAGCTCCAGCTGCTGCGAAAGCAGCATTCTGCAAAACCACGTGGGTCAAAGCACTGATGCTCCCTTGAGTTTGTTGATTGTATACTTACATTTGTGCTTATTTCTCTGTTTGAAACCAAACTGTACTATTTTTAGACCTGTCCACATTCTATATCTTGTTTTAGGCACATCTCTTCCTGATTTTCTCTCTCCACCTCAAAACTGTTCTTAACCAAGAATAAATGATTTATATGGATTGCAAATAAGCGATTTCCAGTCTCAGTGACCACATCTTACCCAGTGCTGAAACAAAGAGCCCATAGATTTTTTTTTCATTATCTATTGCTCAATTCTGGTGACACCATTTTCTCCTTCTTTTGGCTATTTTCCTTTGGCACTTTGGGGCATATCCTTCAACAGAGACTATAAAGAAGAACTCTCTTTGAAAGGCCAGATGCCACTGCCCCCAAAACAATCAGTGTCACATCATACATTCATTCTAATGATAATCTTTGTAACTTGAAAAACAGAGATCATGTATTTGTATCCTGCCAGCAGACTGAAGCTGTGGAATCTCAAAAGAAAGCAAATAGCAAAAGATAATGCCACTGCTGAGAGAGTTATTCAGGGTTCTGCGACAAGTTTTCCTTCCGGTCCCGCCCATCTGCAATTTTAGCAATTTGTGAGAAAGATGAACAATAGACAATTAATCAAAATGAAACATATGGCAAGGGTCATAAAGCCAAGCTTTTATTGTGGTGACACCTTATCAGTAGTGGAGGTTATGATTGTGATGGCAGAGGCAGCATCGAGAATTGAAAAATGAGTATGTGTGAATCATGTCTTTATGACACTAATGGCTTCCTTTCCTCATTGTCATCACAGTTTCTTCTTTGAATGAGGAGAAAATCAAGGCTGTAAATCCATTTAGTCATTTTCTATTCCTTCTAATTCATGATAAAGTTGTCAAACTGTGAGACAGATTGAACTCTTTCCAGAGGTACCGTCTATCCTGGATGTTATTGTCCATTTTCTTTTCACAGGCCATCACGGCAGGGGCACTCCTACTACTGGCTTACAAAGCGTGGACCCACAGACACCTGGTGAATATATAGATGGCAAGGAGGATGGGAAAGAGGGCTTGAAGGATGGAACAGAAAGTATTGTTTCTAATAATAATTGAATTTGGTCTAATTGATGCCTTGCTATGATGAATTTTAGTAATAAACTATGTTTTAAGTGAATAACTTTTTTTTTTTGAGTTGGAGTCTCACTCTGTCACCCAGACTGGAGTGCAGTGGCTACTCCAGGCCACCTGCTGGGCTCTGGCGATCCTTCCGCCTCAGCCTTCCGAGTAGCCAGAATTACAGGCGCGCGCTACCACGCCTGGCTGATTTTTTGATTTATTGTAGAGATGAGGTCTCGGTGCCCAGGCAGGTCTCAAACCCGCAGGCTCAGGCAATCCACTCACCTCAGCCTCCCAAAGGCGCAGGATTACAGGCTGAGCCACCGAGCCCGGCATGAATAATTTTTATCTGATTCCTGCTCCAAATATTTTCTATAAGTTCCTGTGATTATTATTGTATTTGAGGAGGACAGAACCAGCGTTAATGCTCCTGCATTTCATTTTGAAGGAATAAACCTCTGCTTCTAATAATGCATTTTGAAGTCTCCACTCTTTAATTTGACGCTACTTCCATTCGCCCTGTTACCTCTCCCTCTAAAAAAGAATGACAAGTCTATGATAGCTTGTTTTTCAACGGTATAGAGCCAGATAACAGCCTGGTATAGAAAGACTACGATATCTGGTTATAGATGTTACTTCCATATCTAAGGCAGTCTTTAATGTGTATGTGAATCAACTGGAGATCTGGCTAAAATGATTCCATAGACCTGGGTGAGAGCCGAGATTCTGCATTACTGCTAGGCTCCCAGGGGATGTCAGTGTAACAGGACCAGGGACCACACCCGGAGTACCAGGGTCCTAGAGTGAGGATTCTGTTTACTCATGTTTGCTTTTCCTGACCCAGATCAGTTTTCTACACATGATGGGAAATAAGTAAATAAATAAATGTTTGTTGACCTGAATTGATTTTATCTTCACCCCAGTTGACAGATAATGCTAGTTTCCTATGGTGTCAACTGAAGAGGAAAACATAAGGGCTTACAAAGAGAGTTGTGATCCATTTCTCAGTAATTTCCCAGTAGGAGAGATTAGCACCCAGCATGTCTTTCCGTCTTCATATTGCCAAGAATCTTTTGAAATATCTCATCCTCAAAGTAACTACTTGTTTCTGCTTTATTTTCAGTGGGAAGCTAGTTTCACCTTTGTGATTCTGAGCATGATGGGATGCCCACTTCACTTTGCAATAGCCTTGGCATCTGCTCTCCTGGGTCCATATTGCTTCTACTCATTCTCGGGGATTGCAGGGACCAACTACCTTGGTCATGCAGTGGCCTTTCCCTTTCCATATGCAAAGTTCCAATCAGTTTGTGTGGACCCCCCACACTATGAAGAGTACCACCTGACGCTTCAAGCCCTCGACCTGTGCTTGAGCCTTGCCCTGCTCTGCACGTCCCTGACAGTGTTCGTCAAGCTTTCGGCAAGACTCATCCGAAGCGGACATGTGAACGTAAGTTTCAACAAGAGGGGAACAGGTCCTTGTTCCATCCTGGATGCTAAAATGAAAGGTCTGGTATATGAATACTTGATCTTTCTCTGTTGTTTACCACTATATCCCACATGTCCATGCAATCTGGGGTCTGGCACATAATAGGTACTCAATAATTGTTTTTGAATAAATAAGTGGAAATGTGTTGATGTTATAACCAAAGGTATGACAGTGTAGGTAGCACCAGACAATCTGTATCCCAACCCACAATTTAAAAAACTATTCATAGGACAAGACAAAGGTGCCTACTCTCACCACTTCTATTCAACACAATGCTGAAAGTCCTAACCTAAGCAATTAGACAAAAAAAAGTCATAAAAGTCATCCAAATCAGAAAGAAAGGAGTAAAACTTAATTTACTGTTTGCAGATGACATAATCTTACATATAGAAAACTCTAAAGGCTCCACCAAAAAATGTTAGAACTAATAAACAAATTCAGCAAAGTTGCAGTATATAAAATTAATGTGCAAAAATACTTTATGTTTCTATACATGAACAACAAACAATCTGAAAAAGAAACTAACAAAACAATCTCATTTGTAATAGCAGGAAAAAGAATAAAATACTTAAGTATTTAATCAAGGACGTGAAGGATTACAAAATATTAATGAAAGACGCAATTAAATGGAAAGATATCCCATATTCATGGCTCATGAATATGAGATGTTAAAATGCCCACACTACCCAAAAGCAATCTACAGAGTCAGCACAATTCCAATCAAAACTCCAGTGGAATTTTTCACAGAAATAGAAAAAAATTCCCTAAAATGTGTATAGACCCATAAAAGACCACGAATAGCCAAAGCAATCTTGAGAAAGAACAAAGCTAAAAACATCACATATTACAAAGCTATAGTAATGAAACAGAATTATACTGTCATAAACAGACAATAGACCAAAGGAAGACAACAGAATGCCCAGAAGTAAATGTATGCATATACAATCAAGTAATATTTGACAAGGGTGCCAGGCATACACAATGAGGAAAGGATAGCATCTTCAATCAATGGTATTGGGAAAACAGGATATCTACATGCAGAATGAACTTACACCCTGATCTTTCACCACTTACAAAAATCAACTTGAAATGAATTAATGACTTAAATGTAAGACCTAACGTGTAAAACTACGAGAAGAAAACATAGGAAAGATGCTTCCTGACATTTGTCTTGGCAATGAGTTTTTGAATGTGACACGAGAATTACATGCTACAAGAGCAAAACTAAACGGTGAGACTACGTCTTTGCTTCTGCACAGCAAGGAAAACAATCAACAAAATGAAAAGGTAGTTTGCAGAATGGGAGAAAAATTTGCAAAGCATATACCTGACAAAGAGTTAATATTCAAAATATAAAAGGAACTCATACATTTTAATAGCAAAAATAAGTAATCTGATTTTAAAATGGATGAAGGACCTGAGTAGACTTTTTTCCAAAGAAGATATGCAAGTGGCCAAGAGGTACATGAAAAGATGTTCCACATCACTGATCAGGGAATTGCAAATCCAATCCACAATGAGATATTACTTCACACCTATTAGAATTGCCATCATCGAAAGGGCAAGAGATAAGAGTTGCTGTGGTTGTGGAGAAAAAGGAACCCTTGTGCACTGCTGGTGAGAATATAGGTTGGTATAGCCATTATTGGAAACAGTATGGTGGTTTCTCAAAAAAATTAAAAACAGAACTACCCCACAATTCAGCAATCCCACTTCTGAGTATATAACCTAAGGAAGCAAAAAATGTATATGTCTCAAAGACTTATCTACCTTTCCATATTCATTGTAGCATTATTCATAATAGTTAAGCCATCAAACAAGCCAAGTGTCTGTCAACAGGTGAGTGGATAGAAAAATAGACACAATGAAGTAGTCCTCATCCTTAAAAACAAAAGGAACAACATGGATGAAACTTGAGGGCATTATGTTAGGTGAAATAAGTCAGACACAGAAAGACAACTGTTGTAAGATCTCACTTAATATGTGGAATCTAAAAAAAAAAATTGAAACTCACAGAAACAGAGTAGTAAGATTATTGTCAGGGATTGAGGGAAGGGGGAAATAGAGATTAGTCAGTGGGTACAAACTTCCAGTTATGAGATGAATCCGGGGATCTGGTATACAGCATGGTGACTGTGTTAACAATACTATATCATATACTTGAAATTTGTGAGAGTAGGATCTTGTGTTCTCACCACATACACATTCGAAAGATAGATGTGTTCAATAACTTGACTGTGATAAACATTTTGTATTATATATGTATGTAAAATATCTCAGTATACATATTCAATTTATACAATATTTGTCAATTATACCTCATTAAAGCTGAGAACAAATAAAATATATTTTTAAAATAAAGTGAAAGAAACACTGGATTTTTATGAATAATGTATCTGCATCCTTTTATCTTGCTCTAAGTATAAGAGGTCAGAAGAATATAGCATTATTTTCCCCTGGAAAAACATACATTAAGATAAACCAGCCTCGAATTTTAAAGCTAAACTTTTGCATAATGCATTGCAATGCTATTTTGCAGTTCACAATGTTGGAATAAATTTGATGGTTTGCTTTATCCACTTAAATTTTACACAATAAAAATTACTAATGAAAGCAAATATTAAGAGTTTTTTTGCAGAAGTCGATGTGGTAATATATTTAATATTTTTAAGATGAATAGAATACAGATCCCTTCATTTGGCTTCTATCTATCCCATGAATTCAGACAGGTACCGATGCTCTGTGGTTGAAAACACATAGAGAAAATTCGTCCACTGTTTCTATTCCATTCCATCAGAGAGGCTGGTGTTGCCCAATATCAAGCCTTTCTCTTTCCAGGGGCTAACCATAACACTCCTAATATGATAAAGAAAGAGTTCTTACTATGTGTCAGTACTTCCCTATTTTACAGATAGAATACTGAGGCCAAAGAGTTTATATAACCTGTCCAACATCACATAGCTTATGAGTTGCAGGGCCTGATTCAGAACCAGAGCTGTTTCTCCTAATCAGGCCAGGTTCATTCTAGCCCTTCTCATTCCTGGCCTTGAAGGTTTAGGAGGGCCGGGGCAGTGTCCTTGGGACAAGAGCACAAGTGACCTGATTCTAAATTCCCTTGGCCGATGCTGATTCTGATGTGGTGTGGGTGGAACAGCCTGCCTTGGAAAGAGATATTTCCTACTGCAAACTCTCCTGCTGGCTTGATGATTGAGATTGGTATCACATTAGGATTAAGTTAATTTGAATAGCGTTAGCCAATTTTTTTTTTTTTTTCAGATTGATCCTATCCACCCCAACCAGCAAAGCTGGAACACGAACATTTGGCATTCCTGATGCCTTTTGTGGTCAATTTTGTCCTCTTCAACTTCTACACAAGTCTGCAAAGGAAATCCTGTGCATTCTTAGGGGCAGAGTTGATTTTACAAAGGAAGCTTGCCAAGCACTGAGGCAAGCAAACCAAAATCACCTGCCATCCGTCCTGCCAGGGCATCTGTACGTCTCGTCTTTGAGATTTCTTCTGCGTAGTGAACGTCCACCCTTTCGGCAGCCCTTGTTAAAAGAAATGCATGCCCAGGAGCACTATGCACTGACGTGCTGGCTGTTGTGACTCCCAGCATGGACAGTTGATCAGATATCTGGCCATCACCTTCTTCAGAACACCAAGGCTTAATGTGGGAGGGGGGTGGGAGAGTGGGGAGAAGGAAACAATACATGCCAGATGCAGTAAGTTCACTCCGTGCACTTTCAACCGTGAGGCCACCTGAAACGCCTGGGGAGAGAAACTGGATTGAAAACAGAGGCGAGTTGCGTTCAGAAGCAAGTTCTCCAGCTTCCAATTTTGCCTTTCCCATCTCGCTCAGGACACAGCCGCTTGGTATGTGACTTCTCGGCCAGGTACAGGACCAGCACAACTACACACAGTTTCTTAGGGTGCCCAGTAATGTCAGAATCACCCAGGGTTCTTGTTAAACCAGATTTCTGGGTGCCATCTGGGTCCCAGGACGTCAGCAAACCTGGGGCTGGAGGCACAGAATGCACATTTTTATACAGACTCCAGGAAGTGAGGATAGCCAGTGAAGTTTGAGAACCGTACCTGAAAAAACAAATGGTCTTCCTAGCGTAAGACTCTCTTAGTTTCACTTCTGGACAGTCTCAGTTTCCCCATCTGCATGAAATATGCTAACTTGGGAGAAATTTCTAGATGAGTTTAATAATCAGCGTCTCCTTGGTGAGTAGTTTTGGGTGACTCGACACCACTTAATTCACAGTGGCAACAGGTCATATGTCATTCGTGAGGATGAGTGGATGACATAAGGGACATGATGGCCTGTATTAATATATACCACTGCCCAAGCCCCTGGAGCACGCATGCAGCCTGAGTAAACCTTTGCTACCATGTAGAAATCTCAGCTACATGAGGCACAATTTCAAACAGTTAACTAAGTGCATTACTTATTAGAATCTTAGAAAACACACAACGCTCTTAAAAGGAAAAGTGGATAATTTGTTCAGATACAGAATTCTAACTGGCAAGTCTACATTTAATGAACCACATACAGTTATGTTGTTAGACTCCCCACATGCTAAAAGGGATAAGCAATGTTTTAAAATTTTCATGAAAAACTAGAATGTGTTCTGAAGTATGCCACTGACTTAATCTCCTTTCCCATGTAAACAAAACCTTGATAATGCTTTAAAAGACTGCACGTTCAAGTGTCACCTGAAAAATTAATATCCTCTTATGTAAATTTAGTACATATCAGAAAATTCAAGAGTCATGAAGATTTGTAAAAAAAAAAAAAAATATGATGGTTTGAAAAAAAGTTTGGGAAAATGGTAGCTTTTGAATAGCAAAGAACTGTAGAACAAAGTCAATGACTACTTCTAAGTGTGATAGTCAATATTATAATAAAAAATATTCACTTCTGAGAGTTTTTCCTGTAAGTTCAAAAACATGTTTTCAGAAGTGAGTCGAGCACCTCCGAAGGGGCCCCACATCCATCCAGAGCTCCCAGTGCTGCCTTGTTTTAGTGGAATCCAGGCCATCTTGCTAAATGTCACAGTGAAGGTCAGTTGGTATCCACACAAAAGCCCAGTGAGAAATGCTGGAAAGAGGCATGAGGGGTTTGATGACTTTGGTCAACACTTACGGAGGGGTGTGTGAGTCCTTGCGACGACCAGGGCCTCGAGGGTGAGCTAGGGGCCTAGATCAGCACAGAGGCTGGAGAGACCCCACCAGCTGCAGGACCCGTGCAGGGGCCAACAGCAACACAGTTAAGGCAAGGAACGAAGATTAAACCACCAGAGCAGGATTGTCTACACTCTCGGTCTAATAAGGAATAAGGGATGGAGAAGGAGAGAATCGGGACGCGAGACACATTGCAGCTGTCCCCCGCAGTTGCTGTGCCCTCCACGCAGTGGAACGGCTGCATCTGTTTTCCTTTCATTACCTTGTGTTTTGTGTGTGTGTGTGTGTGTCTTTTTTTTTTGTGAGTTGGAGTCTCACTCTGTGGCGCAGACTAGAGTGCAGTCGCCGCTCCCGGCCACGGCAGCCTCGACCTGCTGGGCTCCGGCGATCCTTCCGCCTCAGCCTTCCAAGTAGCTGGAACTACAGGCGCGCGCTACCACGCCCGGCTGATTTTTTGATTTATTGTAGAGATGAGGTCTCACCAAGTTGCCCAGGCGGGTCTCAAACCCGCGGACTCAGGAATCCACTCACCTCAGCTTCCCAAAGGCGCGGGATTACAGGCTGAGCCACCAAGCCTGGCTGTGTGTGTGTCTTTTTAATGAAAGGGGAAGGAACTATTTCTCCCTGTCATGTGATATAGTGCTTTTACTTTTTTCAATGAATTCAGAAATGTTTGCTTCCCATAAGAGTGATAGGTCAAGTTTTAAGTGTAATTCAAAGACAAATGGGGCTGAATATTTGTCAGCGGAGGGCCCTCTTCCCCCAACCGGGAGAAGACTTGGCAGCAAGTCTTGGCCTCGGGTCTTCCAGGGGATTATGCTCAATCGCTGGCAACAGACATGTGCTTTGAAAAGGTCTGAGGCCTTGGATTAGGCAATAGTGAGATCTTCTGGTGCTCTGGGAACCAAGTTCCCCGGGCAGTTCCAAGTCGCTCTCACACAAGACATGGAACGGTAAGGATCCGCCATGTTTCTTTCTCACGAATTCTATTATGTGGCTCTCAGTAGAGAAATTGGAATCCAGAAAAATAATCGCAATGAAGGGCATGACCACTTCTGTCATCACTTTATTTTCTCTAGAATGATAGTGACATAGACCAGGGTAACAGGAGAATAAATGCAGGTGCTATCTATTGGGCAGCTGCTACTCATCGAGCATTTTGCCTCTTCTACTCCTCAAAACATCTGAAGCTCATCATGGCCATCTCAAATGAGCACAATGAGACATCGTGGAGAACCAAGAGCTAGGCTCCAGGTCTCATCAACACTGAAGTGCAGACTCACGCCACCAGCCAGTCACCATTCTCAGGGGTGTATCAGCTACCCTGAGTCCCTCCTGATTCAAGAGATTTGCAACATCATGTTTCTCTTGAACATCTTTCTTAGGCTTTTCACATACAAAAATTAACTTCCACATTTTAGAAGTGGAAGCTATTTTTCCAAGATATTTGCATTTCGCTTCACCCGTGGGACCGCACCAAGAGCGATAGCAACTTACTGAGAGAGGAAAGGAGACTAACGGGTTTATTGCAGTGTATTAAAGCAGGTCTGATATTTTGTCAAAGAGGAAGTAGTAGGTAGGGAGGGCTCAGTATCCGAAAACAGTTTTTGATTTTTTGCTTTGCACGTTGTCATGAGCCTCAACACATTTTCCTCTTGACTTGCAGTCAATTTAGTCTTTTCACATAAAATACCTTTGGCTGGGCTCAGTGGCTCAGCCTGTCATCCCAGCACTTTGGGAGACTGAGGTGAGTGGATTGCCTGAGCCTGCAGGTTCGAGACCAGCCCGG